TAGAGATGGGGTTTCACTGTGTTGCCCAGGCTGGTCTTGAACTCCTGGGTTCAAAAGATCCATCCATCTCAGCCTCTCAAGGTGCTGGGATTACAGGCATGACCCATGGCACCAGGCCGAGCTTCACTTTTACCAGGAATGGGGATGATGAAGGCTGGGAGTGTCCCAGTCTGGTGGAGCTCAGGCCCCTTAGCCTTTCTTCTGATGGAGCCACAACTGCCAGGGCCCGCCTCCCCCACCCACTTACAAGCAGGGCTCACAGAGCCTCTGATTAGAAGACCTCTCCAAGGCCACGCTGCAGGGAAGGCAAGCAGAAAGAGTATCCACTGTTCCAATCTGATTTTATTGAAAAGGAAACATACAAAAATCATGTACAAAAAAAATTAACCAAACATGTACAGAAAATTCATTCCGGTATCTACAGCAGCGCATATACAGTATCTTACAGGCTGGGCCATCCCTCCCCACTCCCAGACTCCTCCCTCTTCCGAGATTTCCCCCCCTCCCTGACTCCCCGTCTTCCCCCCAGCGCTTGGCCCTGGGGACTAAGGCTGGGGCGGCTTCAGCCAAAATCTCCCACCCCCCAAATGAATGCCAGTGGTCACACGTGCTCTCTCTAAACCTATGCAATGGGATTGATGGGGCGGGGGGCGGTCGTGGGCAGAGCACAGGATTCACAGTCTGGGCCCCTCCTGGCCACCCCCGCATGAAGGTGAGGCAGGCACGCCCACCACCTGCCGGCTGGCTCAGGGAAGATGGCTGGGCACCTGGCTGGAGCAACCGGCAGACGCGCCCCACTCTCTGGCTCCAGGAGGCTAGTGGTCACGTTTGGCTCATTTGCTCTTCACGGGCCCCCTCCCAGGAGGAGGGGGGGAAGCACCAGGGGCCTGAGGCCAGGCCCAGAGTGAAGGAGCACCAAGAGGAGAGCCCCCCCTCAGTGTCACCCCTGCAGCTGGAACGGACACCAGTACAACAGCCTTTCCTGAGATGGTGGTGGGCGGCAGAGGCGGGCGGCTCAGTCCCCACCCCCTTGGTCACCGCCGCCTTCCGATGCTGAGTCCATCAGCCCTCCCTCCCCTGGCTTCTTGGCCAGGGACCCAGGAGTCCGCATCTCTGTCAGTGCACCCCAGGCTGGGCTGGGGCTGGAGTGGCTGCCCCGGCCTGCCCCCGGGATAGGCAGGGCTGGGAGTCCAGTATGCTACATGGTGCAGAGAAAGTCCCCCGCGCTGGCCAGGGTGTCAGGAGGTAGGAGGGGCCTGCCCCCCGAGTCCCTGACGTCCACCGGGCGGGTGCAGGCACCTAATTGGGCTCCATTTCGGGGGCTCTGTGGCCCCTGGGTAAGGGCAGGAGTCCCATGATGAGATTGTACAGGACCCTCCAGGGCGAGGGGCGGTGTCGCTGCTGCTCCTCTTGTCTCTGGGAAGAGAGACCGGGCAGTTAGCAGGGGACTGAGTATGGTGAGGGGAGAGGGGATGGTCAGCTCCAGCAGTGAGGCGACCGTCTCGCCCACCCCTATTCCGGCTCCTCCCCACACCTGGGCTAACATCCATGTCTTGGAGGTCACATCCTCATCCAGGACCTGAGACCAGGAGGCAGAGGACAAACACGGAACGTCTTCAGCAGAGAGCTAGGCACCCAGCGAGTGTGTGGCACATGTTAGCTGCGGCCGCCCCAGCCCTGCTGTACACTTAGGAAAGATCCCACAAGGGGCTGAAGGATGTACTGCAACCTATCCTACCCCTCCCTGCAGGGCCGGCAAGATGAGGAGAAAGGAGCAGGGTGCCCACAGTCTTGGCAGTTCTAGAACACTCTGTGGAAGGAGGAGAACTGGGAAGAGTTCACCCCCCATTGCAAAGGCTTCAAAAGAAGCACCTCTAGGCAATGCTGAGTGAAACCCCTGCCCTCTCTCCAGTGGCAGGGTGAAAACAAGGTGGTCTCTAGGGCCCTCTCAGCTGCAACATGCTAGGAAGTGGGAAGGCTGGAGGCTAAGTCCTAGGAAAGGCTCCCGACTGGTAAAAATTAAAGGCAATACTAAAAAGTGTACGGAGGCCCAGCGCGGTGACTTATACCTGTAATCCCAGCACTTTGAGAGGCCAAGGTGGGAGATCACCTAAGGCCAGGAGTTTGAGACCAGCATGGCCAACATAGTGGAACCCCGTCTCTATTAAAAATACAGGCCGGGGCCGGGCGCGGTGGCTTAAGCCTGTAATCCCAGCACTTTGGGAGGCCGAGGCGGG